GGTGGGTTTTGGAAACACAGGCACCACTGTATCTGGGGAGGGATCTGCGAGGAATATCATCTGGTAGTTTCTGAATAGAGATGTAAAGATAGGATGAGAAGTGCTGTGTTTATTAGATTAAACAGAAGTACTGGCCTGAACAGTGATCTGCTGGCTCTGCTGAGGGCACAGCCTTGCAGGTCTTGTGCTTAGAAGTGACGCTGTGATAGCCGAGGAGCTACCTGCATAAAGGGTGATGAGTCTGTAGCGAAGAGCAGTGTCAATGTTCAAAGTCTTGTTTATGGGCAAAAAGGAGGAGGCACACGTTATAGAGAGGGCGCCAAGAGTTTATTCTTAGTGTAATTGAACCCATAACATTCTAATCCTACTAGTCAAGATCTAATTATTACAGAAGAAGAAAGAAAGAGGTCCTGTTGGTTACCCCTGACCCCACTTCTTTCCAGTGTCGGGTCCACATTGACTGGTCGTTTGCATTGTGGGGCCACCAGTTCCAGCCTGTGCTCCATCCCTTGTTGTCCCACGCCTGTTCTCCTTCACGCCATGTACTGTGCCTCCACTTCTCAAGGCCTCTTATCATACCAGGCCTGTATTTCTTTATGCTACCTCATTATGCTAGGGTTGTAAACCCGTGATGGTAACATAAAAAGATAAAGAAGCATAAAAAAAAAAATTAGCCATGGTTACCTGGTCAATTAGAAGAATTGCTGTTGCAGCTAAACCAAGTGAAACAAAGCTGCAGGTAGGTCGTGAAGAGCTCAGACAGACCGAGCATCACAAGCTGTGTTCCCAAGACCTTGCAAACTCAGAACAAAGTCTGTGGTGTATTGCTTGCCATGGCAGCTCTGTGTCACAGGGCTTCAGGGACACAACAGGGTCAGACTGCTCTGTCCTTGAAAGGAGATGGTTTTCCGTGACGGATCGTGACATGAAATAGCTATGTGAAGGGCTTGCTCCAAAGCTGATGGAAATCAGCAGGCAGCAGGTCAGGAGAGCAAACCCAAGAGCAGTTCTGTGATGGGATGGTGGTTACGAACATGGAGGGGGGGATCTGTGTGCAACCCAGCCTCTCCCTGCTCACGTTTCCTGCTGGCACAGCAGGAGAGCTCTTGTGCATGGCATTTAAAGCCTGCCAGTGTGTCACCTGCACCATGAGCAGAAGTGTCATTGGGGTAAGGCGGTGCTTCCTGCTTATTTTGGAGGTGCAGGCTTGGGATGGGTAAATTCACATGGAATCTGTGTTCAGCAGCTATCTACCCTCATGCATGCGGTACAATGAATGGTCTGGACTTGTCTGCATTTTTTGATCTGATCTTACGATCTGATTCTGCAGGGGATCTGCAGGGGATCTGCAGACCATTGTGCCGTGAACTGACTTTACAGTTTCTCGGCTGTCTCTGTTCAGAGGGGCTGGGCGCTTCCTTTCTTTGCAGCATGTTTCATTCTCCTGCAGTGGCTCTGCTGAGATCCTCCTGTTGTCTGCCTGGCTTGCATGCAGGGACGCGCCCCGGGCGTCCTGGGACCCTCTGTGTGCCCTGTGGCTTTGTCCATCTTCGGCAATTGTCCTGCCTGCCTCTGCTGAGTGTAGTGCCCTGCTCCGTGCTGTCCCTTTGGGCAGTTGCACTGCAATCCTTTAGGGTGCGGGCAGGCTGCAACGCTGTGAGCATCCCCTGGGCTTTTGCTCTTCTCCCTCTGCTTGTGGTTTGCAGAAGCAGTGCACCTCTGCTCTGAGCCTCTAGCCATCCTCTGTCCTTCGCTGGCAACAGCTGAGCTCTTCTAGAGTAGCTGTTTTCACTCTAAGCCTCTGCTTCATCTACCCTTCCTCTGTACCTCATGTTTCAGTGCAGACAGAAACTAAGTGAAGATGACTCCTTTTGCACTGTCTCATGGGCTCCAGGGTGACAGTGTCTAACTCTGTTCAGCATCTGGTGTATGTTTTTGGTAGATGTGCCCCGCTTCCAACACAGCTCCTGGCTGTGGATGGGAGGCACATCCTTCCGTGTGCCCAGCCTGCCGGAGTTCGATGGCATTGCTTCTGTGCCAAGGGTGGGGCAGTGCTGGGCCAGAGGCCAGAATTGCTCTTGGGTCTTTTAACTTTGTGTGATGGAGAGATTCCAATGCCAAGCTTGGCAGCAGTAGCAGGTGGGGAGGGTAGCAGCCATGGTTTCCTCCTGCTCAGTTCATTTAGGTCTATCCCACCCAGTTCTGCAGGGCAGTGACCCTGCAGGGTGCTCATTCCATCCCGGGATGTGTCTAGGTTAAGTACGGGAAATATGTAACCTGCTGGCCTGTACTGATTGCCTGCCTGTTAGACAGCAAAATGTGTGTGCAGGAGTGAGGGAGTCAAGGGGAGGATTCCCAGCATGGCATTTCTGCAAACTCCCTTTCCTGAACTGGAGGGGAAGCCTGGGTTGCTTCTACAGGAGCCAGAAGACACACCTGATGCTCAGGGATTTGTGGATTTCTTTGCTGGAGTTCTTGGCCTCACTTTCTCTTTGCCTTTGTGTCCGTTACCCCATGTGCTGCACCGCCAAGGGACCTCCAAGGCCTTCCTATCTGGGCCTTTGAGCACACAAGAGAAAGCAAAGCGAATAGATCTGGGGGTGAAGACTTGGTCCTTATTGTCTGTCAGCTTGCTCACACACTCTCATTAAGCAAACGTTAAATTGGGGTTAATCATAACAAAACACCGAGAGCTTCTGCCGTCATGGTCACTGAATCCTGAATAAGCAAGCGAACCACGGCGTTGCTCAGAAAGGACGCCCTAGCCAGAGCTCTGCTGGCCTTTCTGTTCCAGAGAAAGAGGCTGCAGCTCTGAAAGCACTTGGGTATTTTCCATCGCGGATAAGTGGTTTTTATTTTGCTTTCTCACAGCTGCCTGTGTGGGGCTTGTTTCACTTCCTGTGCTCTGCAGTTGAGCAGCTTAGTTTCGTTTTGCCTCTTTAATATTTATCCACATTGAGATTTTTCTCTAATCCAGCGGCCGATGAATTCTGCGACCTTTTAGTACAAGGCACAAAACCAAACGTTGGGTGGGAGTTTATGGTTATTGCGTGGACTCGCTCAGTTCATGAAATTAGTAAAAGTAAGCGAAATAATACCTCTAACAGACTGTGCGCTTATGTAGATAGCAGGAACACACACAGTAATGAAGCACTTGGGAAGAGGTATTGAATGTTGTGCTTCAGAGTTTAGGCTGATCTCTAGGTGTGAGGGATTAGGAGGAAATTCGGTCCAGGGTAAAGCCACTCCATGTCTGCTCTCTGCAAGGTTGTGGTCTCTCTGCGATGGCAGCTGTTGCCAGCAACTGCCAGACAGCAGGCGCTGAGCATGCCTGGCTACCCCTCTGAGTTCCTGTGCTTCAGGAGTGGTCTATTTACTTGATGCTACAGGAATAGTTGTAAAATACATAACGTAAAGTGCAGTGGCTGGGATTCAAGGATCATTTTCCTTATCTTCCAGAAGATGGCAGGGAAGTGGTATCCCTCCAGCCATCACTGTATCTGTCTTCATACTTTCTCGACGGCTGTGTTGCTTCACTGCCCTCACAGGGCAGATGGAGTTTTATCCTAAAGAAGTAAGATGCCAAGTTATTCTTAGCCCATGGTTTTGTTATGACATTTCCAAAGTGGAGCACTTGGGCTTTGCCTATTTCCAACTTGCATTAGTTTAAAAAAAGAGATGAAACAATTTTTCATGGACCAGAAACAACATTTCATTTTATTTGCAGCTTAGCCAGCAGCTGAAAATTGGTTTTGTTCATGTTATTTTTTCACAGCTATGGCCAGTTCTGGGAGATAAAGACACATTGGTAGATTCATGCTTTACAGCATGGAATTCAGACCCCCAGAATTCATTTGTTCGTTAACAGCTTTTGAAGTCCCTGGTGGCATAGCTTACAGACCCCTGAGGGTTCACGGGTGACAGGTGATTGTTCTAGGGAGCAGAAGATCTCTCCCCTCTGGGCTTCAGTACTCAGTGAATTCCTGAACCCGGAGGACAATTTTCGTTCCTGATGGTCTCGGCGGGTCTTGTCCTCTGAGCTGATGACTGGCACCAGTAAGGGGTGCTCACCTCGTTCCTTGGCATGGGACCACTCCTCGCTTGGCACAGTTGTCTGTCTTCTTCTTAAAGCCCTTCCACTGCAGGCACACAGAGCTGTTCAGTTCATGACAGCATCTTGGTCCCAGGCATGCCTGCAATCCTGTTATCCCCCATGCAGGCATCAGAATAAATGTATGTGCAAGTCCTTGCCCACAAACTGCTTTTTCCTTCCTTAGAGGAACGTTTCTGCTATTAAGTCAGCGTGTCGCAGAGGCAAGCCGTGTGAAAAGAGCCTTTGTTCCTGTTCTCCGTGTTCCCGAGTTTCTCTATGCAAGAGCAGCTGCGGTTCCACTCAGAGCAGTATCTCTGTTCTGCGAGGCTGTTGTGTTCTGCGGCATGGCAGGGTGAAGTGACAGCGGAGGAATTTAAATTGCAATTTAAAGAGAAGCTACTAGTTTTGAAGCATTTCCAGCAGTTCCCAACATAAACAGTGCTGGGACTCTTTGGACAATGGCTTCCATTTCATTCTGTGTTTATGCCACATGTATTTTCAGTAGCTTCTGACTGAGCCTTGTGGGTAAAAAAGGCATCAAGGGTGGCTAAAATGGACACTGACTTCTGGAGGTGGCAGGCCAGCCCCTGGCTTGCTGGCTCCGCTGCCCACACCAGAGGCTGGCAGCTCTGGGCAGTGCCTGCGGCTCGGTCGCTTGCACTTCTGCAGCAAGCGCGGCTCTCTCTCCCCCTTTTCTTCTCTCCCCAATGGCAGCAGCAGTCTGGCTCTCACCACACCCCAAGCCACCCTTCTTTAAGATGCAAAAGCTGTCGTGCCCTATACTGCTGAGATGACAAGGTCCAGAGGTGATTGTGATGCCTCGCTCGGTTCAAGTTCATCTTTTTTTTTGCTTCCCAATGTAAAACAGGTTGTGCGGTCGCATGACAGTGTTGCTTCTGTGCCGCAGGGAACTTCTGGATCTGACTTGCCGTCTTGCCAACACCTTGAAGAAATATGGGATACAGAAAGGGGACAAGGTGGCCATCTATATGTCCGTGTCTCCCTTGTCTTTGGCAGCCATGCTGGCTTGTGCCAGGATTGGTGCTGTTCACACTGTGGTCTTCGCTGGATTCAGCGCGGAATCCTTAGCTGGGAGGATCATCGACTGTAAGTAGATGCAGAATGGGGAACAGACCCCTCCAGACAGTGCTCCAAGGCATTTCCCAATTCTGTGTTTGCTAGGTAGAAATAAGAAAAGGTTCATTCTCAGCTGGTGGGGTGGTTCGCTCTCCTTTGCAAAGTACTGTGAAGGGCCTTTTCCTTAGCGGCAGATGCAGTACCCTCTGGCCGTAAAATACTTTAGAAATTGCTCAACATTCAGTCTGCACTGGGTTACTGCCAGACAACAGTGAAGCTGGAAGGAAAACAAGAGCTCAGGAATGGGGTCTGATTTGTTCTTTCGCAGTATAATCACAGTGTTTCTTTGATGCTCCTGCACAGTGCTAATTTTGCAGTCGAGATTGTGATCCTGTGATTTATGCATAGCAATGGAAGTGTTGGCAGCCTGCCCCCACTCTGTTAGCCGTTGTACCAACAGACAGAGCTGTGCTTAGCCCCATGCACTTGTAGCGTGTTTAGGTAAGAAGTAATGGTAAAAATACCAGCAGAACAAAATAGCAAGGGGCTCATGTCCTAGCACAAGTCTCTTTATGGCTAGTGTGAGGGAATAAGTCTTGCAGCAATTTTCATGCTTTTTTTCTGTTTTAGTAGAGTTAATCTGTAGAGAGCAGGTACACATTTTGGTTATCCTTCACTTTTGGCCGCTTGTGTGGAGATGATGAGCTAAAGAGCCATTTCTCTGCAGCCACGGCTCTGTAATTAACGTACTGCGGTACAGTTTGTAGTGCTCTGCCAGAGTGCTGCTGTGCCCTGTGGCTTCCAGGAGGTTTCCCCTCAAGGTACAGGTGAGTTTCAGAAGGCTGCAGATATCTCGGAGCAGGGTAACCCCTCCGAGAGGCTGCTGAGTTTGGTGCTGTTCGCTTTAGTTTGCAATGGACAGTTATATGCAGTCCCAGTGAGAGGATGAGAGAGGGGCGAAGAAGGTGCTTCACTGAGGTCATAGGAAGTCTTGCACTGGTTTCAGTGTGCAAGCTGTTAGGGTAGAGCAGCAGTATTCACTATAACACAGGTAGCAATGGGCACAAACTGAGGCACAGGAAGTTCCGTCTGAACATGAGGAGGAACTTCTTCCCTCTGAGGGTAGGGGTTGGAAGGGACCTCTGTGGGTCATCTAGTCCAACCCCCCTGCCGAAGCAGGGTCACCTGCAGCAGGCTGCACAGGAGCTTGTCCAGGCGGGTCTTGAATATCTCCAGAGAAGGAGACTCCACAGCCTCCTTGGGCAGCCTGTTCCAGTGCTCCAGTGAGTGATGCATGGACTAGGCTTTGGGAAAGACTTTATCATATTTGTGGTAGGTGTTGGAGTAGGTGTTGGAGGGGGCTGGTGGGGAGGGGGAGAATAGCTGCCGCTGAAGTGTTTTAGGAAGATGAGACTGACAGCTGTCAGAAATTATTTAGCTGGGATGGACCCTGCTTTGGGGTGGAGGAAGTGGACTAGATAACCTCTGGCGGTCCCTGCTACCCCTAATGTCTGTGGGTCTCAGGTTTTAAAGTGTTTTTGTCAGTGACACTGACTGTTTTTGATTGATAGAAGTTCTGAGTATTTGTCACACATGTTGTACTATACATCCTCCCCAAAAGCAGTGAAAGCAGGGTGCATATGTCAGAAAGCAGTCTGGTATGTCTGCTAATTCTTTCTCTTTTTAGCTGGATGCAAAGCAGTTATCACCTACAACCAGGGAGTCAGGGGAGGCCGAACTGTAGAGCTGAAATCGACTGTGGATGAAGCTGTGAAGAACTGTCCAAGCATCAAACACGTCTTTGTGGCTCAGAGGACAGATAACAAAGTCCAGATGGGCGACCGTGATATTCCCCTCGAGGAAGTATGTTGGTGTTGGTAAACCTTGCCTGTTTCCCTTGCTGTTTCTTGAAGTATGTGATGTTTACTGCACTGGGGGAGAGAAAAGCAGCGCACTAATAAATGTAGGGACCAGCTAACACAGACATCTCTGAGAGACCTGATGCAGGGCTGTCCAGAACAGATGTGTGAGTGTCTTACTGAATGTGTAGATCATCCACACTCTGGTATTTGGCTTTGGTCTTTGATCCGCTGTAGGCTACACTGGGAATCGGTAGCCCAGGAAGATCAGGCAGTCTCTGTACTTTCCTTGCATATGGGTGCTGAGCTAAAAGCCTATGAAGCAGCTGCTGCACTGCGGCTCTGTACTCTAGTGTAGCCGCACCAGACCTGCCAGCAGTGACTGGCCTTTACACTGCTTCTGGAGCAGGTTTTCAGTGTGTGCTGCTCCTCCCGTGCTGCCACAGTAGGCTGGTGGGCTCATGGATACAGCTTGTTGCAGTGACAGCATCTGTACGTTCCTGCAGTCACCTAACTCTGTAGACACCCACTCGCACTCTGGATAACTCCTTTTAGATCTGAGGGTTGACTAGATCATCTCTCTCTCCATCTGTGCCTTTTGGACCTGACTTCTGCAGGCAAAAAGAAGGTGCCACTTATGACATACGGTCTTCATCCTCAAATGGATTGTCTGTATTTACAGTCTGCTGGGATTGTGAGTCGAAGCAGCTCAATCTATGTCTGATTCAACTCAGCATGGGCAGGGGGTATGCTGCTCCATTTCAATAGTCTTGCAAACAGTGCTGAGATTTAAGGAACAAGCGTTTCCTGAGACCCAGAGTGCACTGATACCTTTGCCATTTTTGTTATTCTGTGTTCAGACACTCTGTTCTGCTTTGTCATATGCACTCATAGACTGGACACTGTTGAAAGGCAGTGCAGAAATAATCAAGTCCTGGAGAGACTTAATATAGCCTATGGACAGTGTTGTGATTACCCCTTGATGAGAGCACAGTGATGGCTGGGGAATACTTAGAACCTGTGCTTCCTGGGGAAGAAAACAGCAGTCATTTCAATGTGTTTAGCTAGTACACAAGGGACTGCAGCCTAATGGAGAAGTAGTTTTATCAGTTTGCCGGCAGCAGTAAACAGAAAGTCCTCATTGCCATAATGCCTGGAAATCGCCTGTCTGCAGCCAATATAATTACGCAGGAGTCCCTATGCTGGTCACATGAGATAGGAGCAACTACTAAGGTAAGTTAAACAGAGAAGGCAGCTTTTATTCGGAAATTATCTTACTCCTTCTTACTCCACAAAGCACATTCTGATGATTTTCCTTAGTTTGCAAACAGCCTGAGGCGCTTTGGTGATCCAGAAGCTGAGTTCAGCCCATTGTCAATTGTAGGGTCTGAAACATAACAAGAATTAAACCATTAATGCTGTTAACTCTGTCATGACTGATATTTATGGCAGTTGTTCTTTCCAGCTCTTTTGCTATGGCTTACTGCAAAATTTAAGCCCATGTTGTATTGGAGCATATGAAAACTCCATCTTAGCTTCAGAAACTGGCAAGTCAACCAGCATTGGCAGTGCTGAAATGTCACAATAAATACCTGAGGTGGGCAGGAGGGCTGTAACTCAGAGGCAAAGAATTACATCTGACCCTATCAGTTCTTCGTATTTTACTAAGCTTTGTTTGCCAGACATTTATAAATGGTTGGACCTGCTGTTGGTAGTGTTCACTTGTAAATATAGCATGTTTACAGTATATAGTTGTAAAAAGGCAGTGCCTAGAAATCCCCTCAAAAAGCCGCCTAATAACCCTTGTGTGAATCATTATTCATCTAGGACAGTACAGAGCTCGAGAGAAGCAAGCCAGCTTTGCTTTTTTTACAGCCATATGTTGAGCATCTGGAACACACAGTGATTATTGCAAGTTTGTACACACGTAAGAAAAATGTTCCACCTCTTCCTGAAAAACCTACAGTCCGGGCAGACAAGCCCTCTGCTGCTACAAGGTGCAGTGACCACAAGCATCTCTTTCAAAGCACATTATTTCCCCTTTCTCTGCTGGACTGGGGACACAAGCTGGGCCAAAAGTTTGCTCTGACTTAGTAGAACATTGCCTCCTTCCCTTCCGTGGTTCTGACCTTAGTGGTGAGGAGAGGATCTCACCCACCCGGCCAAACAGTGGAGTATGAGGAGAGAAAAGCACTCTTCTTCTCATGGGTAGAAGCAATTAGAATTTGAGGATCAAATGGACAGGATAGTCATTCACTGCTGGCGCCAGAGAAAGGAGATGAACGCGCAGTTTAACTGTAAGCACTGCAGTTTTATAAGGAAAAGGAAGGTCCTAAACAGTATCCAGTCAGCCTTGCTGCTGCTGCCAAGTGTGATTCATGTTTGCAGTCACACTTTGGTTCTTTACCAGCAGCTTGCAAAGGCTTGAAATGTAAGCTATGACCTTCCATTTTTCTCCTGAAACATTATTTAGTCTGGTCAATTCCCCTTGACTTCTGCACCCAGCAGAGGTATTGGTGGACAGGCTGGGTGCTATATGTCCATGGGATCCTTACCACTGTGTAAGCACATATAACCAATGATACCTTCATGGACTTTATGAGGGGGCAGGAGCAATGGTGGTTCTTGTCCCTGGACACTGCTGACACGCTTACAGATGGAGTATTGGTTGGCTCTGTATAGCCAAAGTCTTCATTACCACCTTTTTTTGCCTTAGGAGATGGCCAAGGCAGCTTCTGTATGCACTCCAGAGAGCATGGACAGCGAAGATACCCTTTTCATGCTGTATACTTCGGGGAGCACTGGGAAACCCAAAGGAATCGTTCACACCCAGGCTGGATACCTGCTGTATGCTGCAGTCACGCACAAGGTAACTCAACTGCATGCTTAGGAAAAGGTTCACTTACCTTCTGACAGTACTGAGAGGGACTTGGACTGAGGTGGGGGTTGCTGTGTTCTGTGTTCGCTGTCCGATTGGGTTGCTGGGTGTAAACAAACTGAAAAATGTCTGAGAACATGTAATTAACCTTCAGGATTTATTCCTGGGGAATACAATACTATGGAAACCAGAGCCTAGAGTTATGAAAGCAAGGAAACTGCAGTGCTGCTACTTTTGCATTTAAAATGTGCTAGTGTTGCAGGCCAAAAGTTGCGGACATTAAAGTGATGCAGCTGAGGAGATTCTGGTAAGTATCTTACTGGCATTGGTAATGTGGATATTTCTGTAGTATTCTGCAGTGGGATGCAGGCCTTTTTAATTTCAGAGAGGATCAGGACTCTTAAAACAACCTCTTTGCTTAGCACTTCTTGTCTGCAGATCAAATATTACGTTCATGCTCTGTGGTTGCACCTTTTTGCTGCTTTTTTATGTGATCTAGGCTAAATGGTTTAAACCCCTTTCTCATGAGAATAAAAAAAGGTACTGCTTCTTGAAGCTGCTGATCTGAGCTCTGCATATGGGAAGGTAACAGTGAAATGTGGAGAGGATTGCAGTGAAAGATCTCCATCTGGCTTTAGCGGTATCACCCTGTTTGTAATCACACGCAATTCAGGCAGAGGTTTTCTTTCTTCAGGCTGACGCAGTTGAATTTTTAGAAGATTTGAATGTGTGAGGGTCAGATTTCTCTGCATGAAGGGTATTTGTTACATCAGCTTTTCTAAGTGGCAGTGTAATTGCCAAGGCATCTCTTTTTTAGTCCAGAAGGTAGATCCTGCACCCTGGTGCAGATACGTAGGGAGGCACTGGGTGCAACTGTGGTCCCTTTAGAGGTACTTCAGGGCCTGACAGGGAAATGCATTTGCAAAGGTGAGGTGAGATTAGCTCTGCTAGGTAGAGGGATCCGCTGACCTGTGTGGCCTTTGTGGTCTTTGCACACTCATGTGTGACACTTTGTCATACGCTCAAGGGTTGTTTTTTTTAGTTCTGATCCACTTCCTTTCATTTAAAACATAAAGCTGACTCTGCCTTATGAGTCAGGATCTCTTCACCATACGGTTGAGGAGTTAGATTTACAGTGGGAAGCATTTTCCATAACCAGGACAAGATAACGAGTTCTCCAAGACCTTTATCTTGAATTTGATGAGCAGGGAGAGGGGAGCATCTGAAAAACAATACACCGATAGAGAAGCTGAGCAGCTAAGAATGTTTTTCAGAAAATGTTTCCTGGGCATGTATCAGTTTCTCCAGCTTTCTCATGGAAACCTGTTTATATTGGTGAGGGGTCTGAGCCTCCGAGGCCTGCGGCTTCCCTGGGGTTCAGGGTCAGCTCTTGCACGTGGGTATACTGGAGTAGGCAACCTTAGGTATCCAGGGCTTTGGTTGTAGCTTTGTTGCTCCAGTCTGAGCAGCTCCTGGTACAGCCATGCTCCCTGTATGTTTGCAAAAGCGATCAGGAGATTGGAAGCCCTGGTGCTGGTCCCTCTGACTTGCTTCACCTTGGACTGGCCTTTGTGTTGGTGTGTCCTACGTGCCTGGCTCCACTCGCCCTGTGCGCTCCCTTGCTCCTGCTTGGATGTATCCAGTCCAGCACCTTACCTTTAAGCTCTTTGCTCCTGCCAGCAGAAAGTCAGCTGGCCTTACATTTATCTTTGCAGTATGTATTTGACTACCAGCAAGGCGATGTTTTTGGCTGTGTGGCTGACATTGGCTGGATCACGGGACATAGCTATGTTGTGTATGGACCACTCTGCAATGGAGCCACCTCTGTCCTGTTTGAAAGCACTCCAGTGTACCCCGATCCAGGTGAGGAAGTGGTGGGCAAAGGTTTGGCTAGACATGGCAGTGTGACAAAGGAGATTTAGAAACCTGTCCGGTGCGACTTGCCTGCTCAGGGGAGGTAAGCTCCATTTCTTCAGAACATGTGTCTACAACATCTGGGAACATCTGTGCATCCAGGGTGAAACCCAAAAAAAGAGTTGCCATTGGTTTTGCTCAGTACTCAACAGTAATCACAGCT